GAGCAAATGAACTTGATTTAAGACTTTATGGACTTTTTTTGGATTACAAGATCCAACACCCTTAATAAATTAGTATGTACTTCATTGTGTTTTATTGGTATATTTTAATTTAATAAAATGTCAGTTTAAAGTCCCCATAAATATTTGGATATTAAAAACATCAAATATACTTAATTTTGCATTTTATCTGTTTAACTTGTGTTATCACATTTTACTTTAGATTAGATTTCTTAGATGTCTTACAATAATTTCCAAGTTATAGTTACTATTTTAAAACTTTAATACTGGGTTTCCTTCACAGTGTATAATTTGTATTAATTAATTAATTAATTCAGTCATTCGTTCGTTCAAATACTGAGATAAACATAAGAATATTAAAAGAAGAAAAATATACAAATAGGCATACTGATAAGGGCCTACATGCTGTGCATTGTAAATGAATTAATGAAATTATATATTTAAGTCTTTAGAGTAGTTTACAGTACTTTTTGCTTTGTTATTTCCTGTTGCTGTTAGTATGAAGGCAGTGACCCATTTATATTTTACAGTAAGTGAGAGTGTGTTTTTGTGATTCCCATTTACATTTGTGAATAAAGAATTTTGTATTTAACCTGAGCGTCGGGGGCTTTTATTTTGAAATCCTCCTCGCTGCAGGTTTGCGGAAGTCCTCGCAGCTGAATACACACAGACACACATTCATCATACGCACACACACGGTTGTCCGCACAAAACAGCCTAAGAAACAACACACCCAAACATAATATTCCAGGACGTACACCGCTATTCACTAGAAAAGGCCGAAGGAGACCCAAATAAGGTGTGATGTTGTTTACTTCTCTTTTCTTGGTTCTTGTTGTGAAACTCTGTGTTGTAAAGTGCGTGCGCAGCGGCCTATCGCAGCCATCATATGCAAAAAAACACAAATACATTTTCTCACATAGTCTGATTCTGGAGAGATACTAATGGAGGAAAGAGGCTTCGTATCTTTTTGCAGTTTGCACAGCCTTCATTTAAAGATAAACAAAAGAAGTGGCTAGAGGTGTTTCCATCACACTGGGCCCCTAGTTGCGTAAACTACTGAGGCTGTGTCTCAAACCAAGTGATCAACCTACCCAGGGAGCATTTTTGCCCATCATAGGCATGTTTAAACCAGTGAATCATCATTATTAGAATGATTCTAGGTTGACAGCTGACTAGGTTTAAGACAGGCGGAGTGAAACCTCTCTGTCATTCAGATTGATGAGTAAAGTTTTGTTTATGGGTTTATATCACAGACATGGTCTGCAGGTGCATAAGCTTCACAACTTCTGCTGATTTGCGTAGATCTTGATGCTGTATGCAGTATGTGTTGATATTAACAGTTTGGATGTGTTCAGAGCTATAAAGTGTTGGTATAATGTATCATTTGTGCAATGCATTGTTGTGGTTTTGATCTTTAATCTTCACACATATGTTGATCAGTCTCTAATGAATTAAATGAAAAGACTTACAGTTAGGACACAATTATGCATGCTTTTTATTAGTTCTCTCCTGAACCTTTTAATAGATAAAACTTCAACTTCAAAAAATGTCATTGAACTAGCCTGTATGATCATTTTGAGTCTGCAGGTGCATAAGCTTCACAACTTCTGCTGATTTGCGTAGATCTTGATGCTGTATGCAGTATGTGTTGATATTAACAGTTTGGATGTGTTCAGAGCTATAAAGTGTTGGTATAATGTATAATTTGTGCAATGCATTGCTGTGGTTTTGATCTTTAATCTTCACACATATGTTGATCAGTCTCTAATGAATTAAATGAAAAGACTTACAGTTAGGACGCAAGTATGCATGTTACTGCTTTTTATTAGTTCTCTCCTGAACCTTTTAATAGATACTAAAATGTCATTGAAGTAGCCTGTATGATCATTTTGAGATTAAAGGGGTCATATGATGCTTTTTTAAAGATCATTATTTTGTGTATTTGGTGTAACAGAATATGTTGACATGCTTTAATGTTCAAAAAACACATTATTTTTCAAATACTGTACATTATTGTAGGTCCTCGATATGTGGGGGCGTGTTAGAACGAGCCGTTTTAGGGGGGCGTGGCAGAGTCTTAACTTTGATAAAGAGTATCTCTTTGGTTTTGAGACGTTAGTCTTTGCATCTGATCTTATCTATGCACAATCAGCTTGCATATATAAATAATAAGCCCTTTAAATAATTAAATATTTTTACTATTTTCCAGTAAATAATAATAATATTATTTATAAATAGTGTGTATAATAATAGTATTAATATTAAGTGTATAAATTGTTTAAAATATCTTTTTAAATATGAATATTATTGAAGTAAATATTATATTAAATAGATTATTTCACAGAATATCATCACATCAAACTAAATGGGGTAAGTTGTCTCAGTGTTAACCTGCTGTTAAACAACCTAAATGTTATATATTAAAATAAATATAGAAATAAACACACAATGCAATATCCAACTACCGTAATAAATGTAAGTTCTGTACGTCACTCTTTTTTGTTTTCATTTGATTAAAAAAAGTTTGACTTCCCATATAAATATATAAAAATCACTTATATTTGCTTTTGTGTGATCTGTTTATTTTGTTATCCAAGTTTACTTTTAGTTAATTAAACTTTTTCAGTTTCCTTGTAATCATTTCCAAGGTATTATTAAATTGTAAAACTATAATATTTTATCTTCATCAAACAGATTTATTGATTGATTAATAATATATAATAGACTATCAGAAACTGTAGTAAATAAATTGTATAGAATTACAACATATGAAACACCAACATGAAAAAAATCACACACAGTAAATAAAAAAAACTTAACTAGATACTATGATGTAGCCCTTGTGGCATGTGACAACTAGCCCCGATCTCCCCTGGATATGATTTAGTACAGTATCGTTGATTTTGACAGCAAATCTTATTGTTAGGACAGTTTGCAGCAATTTTTACTGGCAATGCACATATTAACATCAAGTGCAACAACAATAATTGGTGTTAGCATGACATTAATGTGGCTGATCAGACAGCCTGTAATTGATCACATGCAACCACTGCATCTCCTGTGAAGTGACCGTTTAGGTGCATCTGTTTGCTTGTAAACTCAGCATGCCAGTCATCTGTCTCAGCGAGCCGTGGCTTCAGATTTGCGTTGGGGCAGACATGGCGAGTGTGGTCACCAGGTCAAGGATTTGGCTAACTTGCACAAGCTGTGTGGAGATTAACCGGCTGGACGTATGGTTCTGTGACGCACGGATCCCATGAGCTGCCACATGCATTGCAGACAGTATTCAGTAATGCGGCAGAATAATAGTTATTATTAATAAAAGTGTAATTGATTGGTTTTGGGGAAGGGTTATGAAAAAATGACTTGTATTCAGGTCAGTATTTATTGGGTGTCTGTTTCATTTCATATAAAGCATGCTTGAGTTTTACTGCTGTGATCTTTATGGAGGAAGCCAGCATGCAGTCGTGTTCATTTGAAGACATTTTTGCTGCACGTTTGCTTTGTCGACTTTGCAGCATTTGAGATATTCGAGACACCTGTGTGTGTGTGTTTGAACTGTATGCACCCTACAGTCATTCAGTTAGTGGCACATGGCTACTACAGAGTGTGCATGATGTGTTTCTGTTGTATATGTAGGGTGTGGTTGATGCTGACATGAATTGATCAGTGTGTACAGGGTCTGGTTTGTTCAGTGTGAGCCTCGTGTTTGTGCTGATTCTGGATTCCAGTCTTTGACTTTATCTACTCCAATGTTTTTAAGATGGAAGAATGCCGTTTTTGTTACATGGGATATATGATTTTCAAAAGACAAGTTGCTTTCTAATATAACACCCAGATTTTTGACTGTAGAGGAAGTAACCGTGCATCCGTCTAGTTGCAAATTGTAATCCACGAGATTCGGCGTACTGTCTTTTGGTCCAATAAGTAATATCTCTGTCTTATCCGAATTTAATAGGAGAAAATTATTGGTCATCCATTCTTTTACATTTTTAACACACTCTGTTAGCTTAGATAATTTAGAAGTAGACTCATCTACTTCCTTCTTCCTTACTTCAGTTGAACTTTTGCTTAATTTGATTTGTTACTCATCTTTCTTTATTATTTAGTTTTTTGTTTCTGTTGATTTGTTGATTTGTTCTGTTCATTTATATTTTTACTAGTCAGTGCATTCTCTCAATGGTTTTTCCATTCGTTCATTCTTTAGTTCATTCATCTGTTTATTATTTCATTTGCCTTCCTGTAGTCAAAAAATAGTGTGGCGCTGTCGACCACAAGGTCATGGGTTCAATTCCTAGAGAAAGCAAGCACTGATTAAAGGTGTATGTTGAATTTAGTTTAAGTCACTTTGGAAAAAAGATTCTGCCAATTGCATAAATAAAAATGTTTTGTAATTTTGTATTTTTGATTTGTTTGATCTTTAGTTTGTTCATCTGTTTCATTTCTTTGTTCATTTTTTTCATATGATTTTCTGAAATCAGATGTTCATTCATCTGATTTCATTATTTCATTTATTTTTCCATTTGTTCGTTCATTCTTTCATTTGATTTCCATTTGTTTATTCATTCATTTAGTTTATTTATCTGTTTATGATTTCATTTGTTTGTTCCTTAGTTCAATCAACTGTTTCATGTGTTTTTTTGTTTATTCTTTCATTTGTTTATTTATGAATTCCTTCCTATGTTCATTCTTTGTTTTTGTCATTTTTTAAAATATTTTTTTCTGTTTGTGTGTTCTTTGTTATGGTTTGGTTCTTTCACTTTTTCTTCTGTTTGTTCATTCTTTTATTCATTTTCCTAGTTCATTCTTGCTTTCTGTGACATTGAGAGTTACGTTTTCCTTTACCTGATTCTGAGTTGGTTGTACATTCTATTATTTGTTATTTTGTTTTGGTTATTCTATTCTTTTGTTTGTTCTTTCTCAGTTCATTTTTGTTTCTCTTTCACTTTCACAGGTGGGCTCTCTGCTACCTGGTTGCCATGCCGTTCCCTTTCGGTAAGTCTCACAAGTGTCCAGCGGACATTGTGAAGAATCTAAAGGACAACATGACCATTCTGGAGAAGCAGGACATTTCAGACAAGAAGGCTGAGAAGGTACTAATGGCATATGCAGTGTGTAAAGAAATATGCAATGTGTTTGGTCTTGTACTGTGACTATTACCCATTAAAAGCCATTAATGAGAGGGGTGTGTGTCTGCAGGCCTCTGAAGAGGTGTCCAAATCTCTGCTGGCCATGAAGGAGATTCTCTACGGCACCAATGAGAAGGAGCCGCAGACCGAAGCCGTGGCTCAGCTCGCTCAGGAGCTCTACAACAGTGGCCTGCTCAGCATCCTCGTCGCAGATCTGCAGCTCATTGACTTTGAGGTGCTTTTATAGACTTTTATGCAGACACTGTATGCAAAGTATGAGTCAAAACGACCTACGCATGACAAATGAATCACACTGTGATGTGAAGGTCATTTGTAGAGCAAAATACTCCATGAATCCCGGACAACATTAAATGTGCATCTAGTTCTGCAGTTCTTAACCTTTCTTGCTCTGAGGCTGTAATGACAGAAACAGAAACTAAGAGTGGCAATTTCAATTGGTTTAATTAAACATTTATATAAATCTTATAAATTATATTTGTAATAATCATATTATTGCTTACTTAAAATATAAGTAATCACAGTAATAAAATTCTGTAATTACAGAAGTTTCAACAACTAAATGAGTTTGCACTTTTTATTACCAATAAACGCATTTGCGGTTCTAGTTTTAGTCATTTTTGATTACAGTTTTTTTTAAATGGCTATTTCTACCTGATAAAATATTTTAGAGCTTAACATAACTACAAACATTTTTTTTCATCAGGTCTAAATATCATAACATTTTTAATTCCCTTGACAAGTTTTCCATGACTATATATGACTATATATTTTAAAGAACGTTTAGTCTCATTTTAAATCATTTCAAGCCAACTGTGCTTGAGCCCCCTAATGTTTCTCAACTCTCTGGTTGAGAATCAGTGGTCTAGCCTCATAACATAATTATTTCAACTTCAACTTTGTTTAATAGGCAAGAAACAACCATTCAATTGAAAGCAAAACGAAAAACCTCATGCATAAGATGTAACATCTTCCCTGATGTATCCTCATAAGAGATGCTCCCCTCAATGCCATCTAATCAAAAGTGGCTACTTATGCAACTGAGAGATGTTAATACTGTGTGCATTAACCAGATGTCAATGGCATTCTGTCTTGACTGGCCACTTGTGATCAGATCAGCCGAGATACAGTTATAATACCAATTGTTTGACATGTTCATTTTATCTCTCAGACTCCCATTTGTAGAAACGCATGCTTGTATTTTTGAGCTTTTCAGTAACTATTCTGCATGTTATTTGTGTTTAGGGCAAGAAAGATGTGGCACAGATCTTTAATAATATTCTGAGACGTCAGATCGGCACTCGGACACCTACGGTTGAATACCTGTGCACTCAACAAAATATACTCATTATGCTGCTTAAAGGGTGAGACATGCGCACAAAGATATTCTGGAGACTTTTATTGGATTTTTATTCACTAATTTAATATATAGCATGAAATTCTGCAGTTGTCAGATTACTTCAATCTGACTTTTAAGATTTACAGGCTGGTGTTTAGATCAAATCTCAACCAGGAAACTGGTTTGGTGACTAATATGAGTTTTTAGAAGTGCTATCTGATCCCAGATTAGTATTTACTCTTAACATAACTTGAGTCAACGTTAGCTGTGCATATATCAGCAATATCATCTAAAATGTGAATTTTTTGGTAGTTCACTGTCAAATTGTTAATTTTGTAATTATATACTCACCCTAATATTGTTTCAGACTTTCTGTAGAACACAAGAGCAGATGTTTAGACACACTGATGCTTTTCCGTACAATGGAAGTGAATGGCGACCAAGGGTCAAACTCCGTAAAGCACTCTAAAAGTAGGCCATATGACTTCAGAGAGCTTGAAATGAGTTCTATGGATTACTTTTGTGTTGCTTTTTGTTATTTTTTTTTGGAGCTCGACAACCTCTAGTCACCATTTAGTTTCATTGTATGGAAAGGAACCGGGCAGCATAAACATTAGCATCTCCTTTTGGGTCTATGAAAGAAAGTCAAACATGTTTGGATCAACATGAGAATGTGTGTATGTTGGCAAAATCTTTCTGCTGTTGAGTTCCTGTCCTTTTTGTAGTTACGAGTCTCCAGACATCGCTCTGAACTGCGGGATCATGCTGAGGGAATGCATACGGCACGAGCCACTGGCCAAGATCACCCTCTGCTCCGAGCAGTTCTACGATTTCTTCAGATACGTGGAGATGTCCACCTTCGACATCGCCTCGGATGCATTTGCCACTTTTAAAGTTAGTGTTTTTGTAAATGTACAAGCCTTGGGTGTTTGTTTTGTCTGGCTGGCATCTTTGATTATTTCATATTCAGATGAATTGTGTTATGATGTCTGATGAACTCCATTGGTTTGGTTTTCTTCCAGGATTTGCTGACGAGACACAAACTGCTCAGCGCTGAGTTCCTGGAGCAGCACTATGACAGAGTGAGTCATTGGTTTGGTTTCCATCATTATCTGTTGTTTTTGGATCTGTCAGTCATTCTGCAGCGGGTTCTTCTCAGAACTGTTTGTTTGCATTTAATGTGAAAGTCAATAATGAGTTAGATTAGAAAATACCAAGAAATACTTCTAGAGCTTTTCTCAGAACTAACTTTACGTCAGCATTTTAGCACAGTGACATTTAATTAACTGCTGTAAAATAGTTTTTAGTGGATGTATCAAGACAGTTCTCCTCATGTTCTTCAGATTAACTGTGGATGGCTTTCAGTAACATTTGGCAACCACGTGTACTTTATATATTATTCTTGACATTTAAAATCAAACAAACTAGTTCTTGCTAAGGTTTTTGCTTGGAAAGTGCTATCTTTCTTTAAATAAATGCCACTTAGTTCGATATTTTATCTAATGCAAGTGTGCCATAAGTATGCAAATACTTTTTGAGGCTACTGTATGAGAAAAAGCCAATCAATTTAATATTTTCTTTGTATCTCTTTCCCCTCTTTTTTCCATTTTTGGTCTGCAGTTCTTTAGTGAATATGAGAAACTTCTTCACTCAGAAAACTATGTGACTAAAAGGCAGTCGCTAAAGGTAAGAAACGGGTTAATTTGTATGTTGTGGTTGGTTGTGCTTACTTAAAGACAGTAAGATTATTTGGTATTTTTGAAAGATGTCTCTTCTGCTCACCAAGGCTTCAATTATTTGATCAAAAATGCAGTAAAAACAGTAAATATTGTGAAATATTATTGCAATTTAAAATAACTATTTCCTATTTTCATATATATTAAAATGTAATTTATTCCTGTGATCAAAGCTGAATTTTCAGCGTCATTACTCCAGGCTTCAGTGTCACATGATCCTTCAGAAATCATTCTAAAATGCTAGTTTATTGCTCATTCTTATCACTGTTGAAAATAGTTGTGCTGTTTTTACTTGATTTGTTTCCAGGATTCTTTGATGAATAGAAAGTTTGAACAGCATTTTTTGGAAATAGATCTCTTTTGTAACACTATAAATGTCTTTTGATGAATAAACATTTTAATTTCTTATTTCAAAAGTCTTAATTTACCCCTAACTTTAAATGGTAGTGTCTATCTATTTGTGTGTATAGTTGCTGTGGTACAGCTCTATAATGCATTTAAACTCAATCCTGTGAATGTTTAATGTAGCCACTAGATCTTTATTTTTATGATGTTTTATGTCTTTCCTCTTCCTCTTAGCTTTTGGGAGAGCTGCTTTTGGACAGGCACAACTTCACTATAATGACAAAATACATAAGCAAACCAGAGAACCTCAAACTCATGATGAACCTACTGAGAGACAAGAGCCGCAACATCCAGTTTGAGGCCTTTCATGTATTTAAGGTATGAATTGTCAGCTGAATCTTCCCACTCCAACACTCACCAGTATGCCACCTTCAAGCTAGTCTCGAGCGACAATATTCTGAGAGATAAGGTCTTTCTCTGTGCATTCAGGTGTTTGTGGCCAATCCGAACAAGATCCAGCCCATCCTCGACATCCTGCTGAAGAACCAGACCAAACTCATCGAGTTCCTCGGCAAGTTCCAGAGCGACCGCACCGAGGACGAGCAGTTCAGTGACGAGAAGACCTATCTCATCAAACAGATCCGAGACCTCAAGAGGCCAACCCCGCAGGACGCTTGAGAAGGATCACGATTGTATACAAATGCATAGAGGACGTCTAGACAGTGTTTTAGGCAACGTCTGGATGATGTTTGGCTCTCTGGGACGTTGAGTGGCCGCAGCACTGGCCATGTTTTTGTGATTTGCAAGAACCGTTAAAATGGCATTTGAGCTCAGTGGGTGAGAAATATGGCGACAAGGATGAAAAGTAGTCTTGCTTCGCTGGACATTCAACCTCTCCCCCTACAATGTTTTATTCTCATGTTTCAAAAAACTAAGACTTGGGCACAGAAGTGGTGGAGTTTCATCTAAAAAGTCAATCAGTAGCCAGACTAACAGTTGGAAATAAAGTTTGGAATAAAATAATTTTGTCTACCGTCTCTTTTCTTTGATTATTCACTAAAATACTAAGGTACAACCATTGTAACAAGGTATACCATTATATTATAACATTAGGGCACCTTTTATGTAGATCAGGGGTCGGCAACCTTTTCGGCATGACGTGCCATGTTTTTATTTTTCTGGTTAACCACTGTGCCAACCAGAAATTTTTTTTTTATATGAATAGACAGTGTCGATTGCAGCATTAATGGGGTCATATGATGCTGCTAAAAAGAACATTTGGTGTAATGAAATGTTTCTGCGGTTTAAAGTTTAAAAAAAACATTATTTTCCACATACTGTACATTATTGTTTCTCCAGCTATCCAATGCGTTGTGATTGGCGAATACCTCAAGCGTGAGACGGAAATGTTATGCCCCTACCATACTGTGTTGCCCTACTTTTGCAGCCAGCCTCTAGCGGCCAGTTGATGAATTACAGTTTAAAGGGATAGTTCACCCAAAAAATGTGCCAGTGAAAATGTGATGTTTATCTGCTTACCCCCAGGGCATCCAAGATGTAGGTGACTTTGTTTCTTCAGTAGAACACATATGATGATTTTTAACTCCAGCCGTTGCAGTATATCTGTCGTATAATGCATGGCAATGGTAACAAAATCTATGAGAGAAAAAAGAAATGCACAGACAAATCCAAATGAAACCCTGCGGCTCATCCAAATGAATCACCACTCCCGAATGAGTTTGCGCAAGAGAAAGTAATCTTTTAGTTTTAAGTCGGTTTGAACAATCCGCAAGTTTTGATAAGCGCAAGTAAGTACCATTTTAATTAGCCGTCGTACCTACAATGACTGTGCACTGTGTAAACAATGAGTGACGTATACGCGCGAGAGATCACTTCCGGCGCTTGCGTAAACTACGTCAGAGCGCGTACACACCTCACGCAGTGAGACAGTTGGACATAGTGGTGTATTAGAGGTAAAAAAAAATTATATAAATACTTTTCGGTTTCTCACACAAACCGATCGTTTCGTGTCTTAGGACATCAATGTGTCGTCACGAGCCGCAGGGTTTCATTTGGATTTGTCTGTGCATGTTTTTTTTTACTCTCATAGATTTTGTTACCATTGCCATGCATTATACGACTGATAGACTGCAACGGTTAAAGTTAAAAATCATCATATGTGTTCTACTGAAGAAACAAAGTCACCTACGTCTTGGATGTCCTGGGGGTAAGCAGATAAACATCAAACTTTCTTTTTTGGGTGAACTATCTCTTCAAGTCACTTCCTTGTTGGCTTCACGAGAGAGAGCGGGAGGTTGCCGCTTGGTCTGCACACATCCAAAAACGTATTTTAAATGCAAAATTGATTTTCGTGCGCTCTAAATACTTTTTTCTTTGCGAAACGAAAATTCAGATTGCGCGTGTGCAAAATGCACTTTTGTGAGCTGAAAATATGATCTTTCGCACGCAGAATTGTGGCAGAGATCTAAGCCTATACACTGATGTAGATAGATAGACAGACAGATAGATATAGCCTGCTTGTGGTTTTTGAACGCACGCTTTCTCATTCTTGGTCGCTTGCGTCGTAATTAACGCATTAGCCATTTTTCAATATGTGAGTACCATCAGATAGATAAATACAATTATATATCTTAAAAAGTAATATTCGTACACACACACACACACACGTCTGGTTTGCTATCCTTGTGGGGACTCTCCATAGGCGTAATGGTTTTTATACTGTACAGACCGTATATTCTGTTGCCCTACACCTAAACCTACCCCTTACAGGAAACTTTCTGCATTTTTAGATTTTCAAAAAACTTCATTTTGTGTGATTTATTAGCTTGTTTACCCGTGGGGACCTCAATTTAGGTCCCCACCGTGACACGAGTCCCCATGAGTCTGTGTGTAGTCAGGTTTACGTCCCCACCAGAATAGAAAAACAGGTACACACACACAAACACACACACACACACACACACACACACACATGATGCACACAAAACGTGCGCGCGCATGCTCATTCTAGGTCGCGCGCATCATCACCAGTGTCGCTGGCACTGTGGCTTTAAGAGCGATTTTTATATACTAATATATAAATAAATAATAGATTCTTCCGGTCCATTATAACAAACGGCAAACATTGTGTCAGAAAGCCAAGGGGTATAAAGTATCTGCGTCCACGCTTAAAAACACAGCGTTTTTTCCCTTCATCATGGTGAAGATCAGCTTTCAGCCCATCACGGGACAAAAAGCCGAGAAAGAGGAGGGGGATGGAGATAAAACTCAAATATTCATACCGCATCCACACGTAAGTTTCGCTTTTTGTGTGCCTCAGCTGAAATGTCACGGAAAACAGCGGTAGAAAGGAAAGAACATACATGGTAAACCATTAATCACGTCATTTGATGGGGTGATATGATCTAGTGATAATGCTCCATCAACGCGTGTTTATGTATTTGTAGCTGTTTTGTACAGAAATATTGTTGCCCTTTGGTTTCATAACAAGAGGACATGGATGCTGCAGCACCTGCACCAATCACATCACATCATAAAACATGCATCATGTTTATCTCAGCCATAAAATGTGCACTATATCTACTTATGCACTCACACTTGTGATGTTTTAATAAAATTCCTCTTCTTTAATAATTTAGTAAAGTGAATGGGGTAAACATCCTTGATTA